ATGTTTTCTTTATACCTAATTTTTGAGCTTCATCTAGAGATCCATATTTTGGCACCTCTTACAGAGAAAGGTTAAGGATTGCTGCATAAGAAGGTCATAACAACTTTAACCTCTATCTGATAAATAGCTTAGACATTCTAGTTTGCCAAACTAGAAAAAGCACCAAATAAATACTATCAAATACCTCCTCCCAGCCAACGTAATAGTCCTTATTCCTTGAAATTACCTTTATAATTGATTTGCTTTTATTGTAGTTTGTGTCTTCCTACAGTGTAAAACCTAAGACACATATGTAGTTCTCCAGATGTAAGTATAGAAGTTTACTTCAAGATAAACCGCAGTTAGGCGGGTGCCGGTGGCTCACGCCTGTAATCCTAGCTACCCAGGAGGCTGAGATCTGAGGATCACAGTTCAAAGCCAGCCAGGGAAAGGAAAGTCTGTGAGACTCTCATCTGCAATAAACCACTAGAAAACCGGAGGTGGCGCTGTGGCTCAAGCGGTAGAGTGCTTGCCTGGAGCTGAAGAGCTGAGGGACAGCGCCCAAGTCCAGAATTCAAGCCCCACGACCGACAACCCCCCCCCCCCCGAAAAAAAAGACAAACCATGGTTGCTATTGTGTTTCCTTTATATTACTGTAATGTCCACTGATACCATGCAGTTGGACAGGCTAAGTGGCAGCACAAAGCAACTGTGGGATTTTCCATGGCTAGACTTGCTTTCTGTTCAATCAAACGTGGCCCCACAGACAAGGATGAATGTGCTAAATAAATGGTTATCTCAGCCTAATTGATTAGAAGTTACAGAACTATGTCAAAGGAATTTTTTAGACAGGATCTTGATATGTTATACAGGCTGGGTTGTTGGGTTCTAACTGGGAGTCCTCTTGCTTCAGCCTGTCAAGTGGCTAGCATTACAGCATGTCTTACCCCCTTTCTCCAACAGAATCCCTTTCTTCACCATTAATTAAAAAGAATTTTGCTTTTGAGACAAATCTATGGATTTGATTACTCATAAAAGTGGATTTTTATGTGTGCTTTTGTGGTCTGGCTTATTTCACTTTGAATAAATGTCCTCAATTTTCATTCATGTAGCCATACTATAACATATATTGGAACATCCATTCCCTTTGTGTGTGTGTGTGTGTGTGTGTGTGTGTGTGTGTGTGCACGCGCACACATGCGTGCACACGTGTGCACGTGCATACACATGCGCTTATATTGACTTGAAGTAAGGGGCCTCACACTCTCATTGTTCATACTTGGCACTCTACCACTTGAGCCATGCCTCCAGTCCAATATTTTGCTGATCAGTTGAAGATGAAGCTCTGAGGATTTTTTCTGCCCAGGCTGGCTTTGAATTGTGCAAGATCTGTTTATGAGTAGTTAGGATTCCAGGCATGAGCCACTAACCAGGCTGGAACTTCAGTGCTAAGGCTGCATAATGTTCAGACCATCTTTTTGGGGTTTGGGTTTTTTTGTTGTTGGTGGTGGTGGTAGTGGTGATGGTCCTGGGACTTGAACTTGGGGCCTGGAAACTGTCCCTGAGCTTTTTTGCTCATGGCTAGCACTCTATCATTTTGATTCACAGATCCACTTGATTTTCTTGTGGTTAGAGATAAGAGTCGCACGGATTTTCCTGCCCCAGCTGGTTCCAACAGTGATCCCCAGTTCTCAGCCTCCTGGGTAGATTACAGGCGTGAGCCACCAACACTGGGTTTGTGTGTGTGTGTGTGTGTGTGTGTGTGTGTGTGTGTGTGTGTGTGTGAGGGGAGGGTGGTCATAGGGCTTGAACTCAAGGCCTGCGCACTGTCCTTGAACTTTTTTTACTCAAAGCTGGTGCTTTACCACTTGAACCAAGCTCTACATCAGGCTCTTTGGTGGTTAATTAGAGATGAAGGTTGTATGGACTTCCTGCCAGGAATGGCTTGAAACCAGGCTTCAAACCACTACCACATAATATTTTTTTGATTACAAATTCATCTCTGCATGGACATTCAGACTGCGTCCATCTTTCGGGTATTGGAAATGAAACCAATAATGTGGGGGTACAAATACAGTGCGACTTTGCTTTTATGGCAAAGTGATTGTTACACTGCATTACCAGTACTCTCAGCTACTCAAAGGAGATAGGAGGAAACTCGGTATATATTCTCAATTTCTTCTTTCTTTCTTTCTTTTTTTTTTTGGTTGGTCTTGGGGCTTGAACTGTGGGCTTGGGCGCTGTCCCTGAGCACCTTTTGCTCAAGGCTAGCACTCTACCTCTCGAGCCACAGCCCCACTTCCAGCTTTTCTGTGATTTATTTGGAGATAAGAGTCTCACAGACTTTCCTGCCAGGGCTGTCTTTGAACTGTGATCCTCAGATCTCAGCCTCCTGAGTAGCTAGAATTACAGGTGTGAGCCACCAGCGCTGGCTTAACTGTCATGTTTCTGTGTCTGTATTTTATCTATTGTGGTATCATACTTGTCTCCTGCTAAGATTAGTTTGTGTTATGGACCACATTAACCTCCACTTGTGTTTTGCTGCCTTCCTTCCTTGCTCTCCTTGTATGAATCCATAGGATATAATTCAATCCACTCTGAAGATGATTGCTAGCAACCCAATTAAACACAAGATTTCTTTTCCTTTTAAATTTATTTATTTATTTATTCATTTATGCTGTGCAAGCGTTTGAACACAGTTGCCCATGGCTCATTATAATCCTAACTACACATGAGGCTGAGTTCTGAGGATTGGACCCAGCCTGGGAAACAAGTCAGGGGAATGGTTATCTCCAATTAACTATTAAAAAGCTAGAACAGGAGGTAGGTCAAGTAGTAGACAAACAAGGATCTGAGTGAGTTCAAGCCTAGGTTTGGCACAGAAAAAGAGAGGAGGGGGAGGGAAGAAGGAAGGAAGGAAGGAAGGAAGAAGGGAGGGGAGGGAGGGAGGGAGTGAGGGAGGGAGGGAGGGAGAGAGGGAGGGAGGGAAAGGAAAAGAAAAAGACAAAGCCAGGCAGGTGGCTTGCTCCTGTAATCATAGCTACTCAGGAGGCTGAGATCTGAGGATCACAGTTCAAAGCCAGCCTGGGAAGGCAAGTCTGTGAAACTCTTATCTCCAATAAACTACAAACAAAAACAAACAAACAAAAAACCCACCAGAAGTAATGCTGTTGCAGTAGAGGGTTTGCCTTGAGCAAAAGAAGATCAGAGAGAGCTCCCAGAAAGGGACGACAAGGTCTCTTTAAGAAGGTTAATTTGATCTTGGATTCATTATGTAGCTGTTAGGAAACAGAGTCATGTCTGTTAGGAAAGATTTAGCAGACCAAAGGAGAGAAAGAAGGTAGAGACCTCAGCAGACCAGAACAAGCTTTAATAATTGCTGCAGAAGGACTTCAATGTAACACTGAGCAGCACAGGAGAAACAAAGAGCTGGGAAGGAAGGGGGTCTGAAGCTTCAGTACAATTTGTCAAGAAAACATGTTGAGTTAGGGTCAATAGTAGCAGTCACGGACATTATAAGGAACATTTAGGACTCAGATCAAAAGGCCATATTGCCATCTACTGAGGCTGAAAAGAAAGGCTTAAATTTAGAGAATGTGTGGGTGGGGGAGAGGGGATAATAAGGATTTTCCCAAGAACTGTTCCAGGAAGAGTTTCAGATAAGGGGAGGGGGAGGGAGCTCTGTGGGAATATATATATATATATATATTTATACATATATATGTATGTATGTATAGGCATGTGGCTCTAGTGGTAGACCTCAGTACCACATACACAGAAAAAGCCGAAGTGGCACTGTGGCTCACGTGGTAGAGTGATAGCCTTGAGCAAGAGAAGCTCAGAAACAGTGCCCTGAGTTCAAGCCCCAGGACTGGCAAAAAACAAACAAAACGGAAATTTCCCATCAGTTAGGCCACCAGACCCATCTGTGTGTGTGTGTGTGTGCCAGTCCTGGAGCTTGGACTCCGGGCCTGGGTGTTGTCCATGAGCTTTCGTGCTCATGGCTAGTCTATACCACTTGAGCCACAGCTCGAATCTCAAGCTTTTCTGGTGTTTAATTAGAGATAAGAGTCGCAGGGGAGTTTCAGTCCCTGAGATGGCTTTGAAATGACATCCTCAGATCTTAGCCCCCTGAATAACTAGGATTTCAGGCATTAGCCACCGAGATTGGGCACTGGGCTTTGTCCTTCCAACAGCATAGCGAAGAAAGGTCTTAAGCTCTCTCCTGCGCCCCTACCTCAGTTCCTAAACTATGTCCACACTTTTTTTTCCTGGCTCCCTACATCAAAATTAAAACAAAGGGAAGTTTCCGGCATTTTCCCAAACAAGGACATGCTGGGTCATATTTCTAGATACCGATTCCATTTCAATCAGCGTACCGGCCACTCACCTGTTTTCACGCCGCCTGCGCTCCAGTTTGGAAACCTTGGGGTTACAGAACCACCGAAACGACCAAACTGCTCAGCCGGTGTTCCCCCACCCCCCACCCCGCCCTGCCCTGCCAACTTTGAGTGGGCTCCAGTCTTGGTTCACTGAATCCTAAATTAGCCCGTGAGGTCAGGAACCGCGGGCCATTGTAACGCGAAGAAAGGGGGCGGTGTCACCAGACACGCCCTGAACCGGTGGGTCTCCCCGCGACCCCTCCCGAGGGCTCTTCCCCCCCCCGATCCGACCAGCCCACCCCCGTACAGATCCCAGCTAATCCCCGTACCCCTAAACCCTAGCCAGACCTTTCCTCTCAAAACTATGGGGCAGAACCAATCATTTGCCTGAAGGGAAACAAACCCTTCTCGCCACACCCCTCCGCTCCTCCCACCCGCCACACCCCCCTATTACGGGGTCTCGGGCTTCCAGAGAACTCTAGAGGCCTCGGGAGAGTTCGGCCCCGGCGAACCCCCTGGAAGATTCCAGGCCCGACTGACTCACCAGAATCCCCGATTGGGCTAGGAGGGAGCAGGCGGGGCTCCTCCGGGACATAAAAGCAGAGCTGGCGTAGGGCTGCCCATTGCCAGCTCCAGCCAGCCACTGGGAGCAGCTTTTCCGACGCTATTCCGAAGCAGAGCCGCGAGCCGCGTCCTCACTCGATCCAGTCCCAACCCGAAGCGGAGCATCCCGCGCAGATCTGGTCCCAACCCAAGAGCATCCAGCGAACCGACTCGAAGCAGAGCCTGAGCGCGCAGCCCCCCGAGATGGCGCAGAGCACGGCGATCGGCATCGACCTGGGCACCACCTACTCGTGCGTGGGGGTGTTCCAGCACGGCAAGGTGGAGATCATCGCCAACGACCAGGGCAACCGCACCACCCCCAGCTACGTGGCCTTCACCGACACCGAGCAGCTGATCGGAGACGCCGCCAAGAACCAGGTGGCGCTGAACCCGCAGAACACGGTGTTCGACGCCAAGCGGCTGATCGGCCGCAAGTTCGCCGACGCGGTGGTGCAGGCCGACATGAAGCACTGGCCCTTCCAGGTGATCGGCGAGGGCGACAAGCCCAAGGTGCGCGTGAGCTACAAGGGCGAGACCAAGACGTTCTTCCCGGAGGAGATCTCGTCCATGGTGCTGACCAAGATGAAGGAGACGGCCGAAGCCTACCTGGGGCACCCGGTGAGCAACGCGGTGATCACGGTGCCCGCCTATTTTAACGACTCACAGCGGCAGGCCACCAAGGACGCGGGCGTGATCGCGGGGCTCAACGTGCTGCGGATCATCAACGAGCCCACGGCGGCCGCCATCGCCTATGGGCTGGACCGCACCGGCGGCAGCGGCGGCGGCGGCGGGCGCGGCGGCGAGCGCAACGTGCTCATCTTCGACCTGGGCGGCGGCACGTTCGACGTGTCGGTCCTGACCATCGACGATGGCATCTTCGAGGTGAAGGCCACGGCGGGCGACACGCACCTGGGCGGCGAGGACTTCGACAACCGGCTGGTGAGCCACCTGGTGGAGGAGTTCAAGAGGAAGCACAAGAAGGACTTGAGCCAGAACAAGCGCGCCCTGCGGCGGCTGCGCACGGCCTGCGAGAGGGCCAAGAGGACCCTGTCGTCCAGCACGCAGGCCAGCCTGGAGATCGACTCGCTGTTCGAGGGCATCGACTTCTACACGTCGGTGACCCGGGCGCGCTTCGAGGAGCTGTGCGCCGACCTGTTCCGCGGCACGCTGGAGCCCGTGGAGAAGGCGCTGCGCGACGCCAAGCTGGACAAGGCGCAGATCCACGACGTGGTGCTGGTGGGCGGCTCCACGCGCATCCCCAAGGTGCAGAAGCTGCTGCAGGACTTCTTCCACGGGCGCGACCTCAACAAGAGCATCAACCCCGACGAGGCGGTGGCCTACGGGGCGGCCGTGCAGGCGGCCATCCTGATGGGCGACAAGTCGGAGAAGGTGCAGGACCTGCTGCTGCTGGACGTGGCGCCGCTGTCGCTGGGGCTGGAGACGGCGGGCGGCGTGATGACGCCGCTCATCAAGCGCAACTCCACCATCCCCACCAAGCAGACGCAGATCTTCACCACCTACTCGGACAACCAGCCCGGGGTGCTGATCCAGGTGTTCGAGGGCGAGAGGGCCATGACGCGGGACAACAACCTGCTGGGGCGCTTCGAGCTCAGCGGCATCCCGCCGGCGCCACGCGGCGTGCCCCAGATCGAGGTGACCTTCGACATCGACGCCAACGGCATCCTGCACGTCACCGCCACCGACAAGAGCACCGGCAAGGCCAACACCATCACCATCACCAACGACAAGGGCCGCCTCAGCAAGGACGACATCGAGCGCATGGTGCAGGAGGCCGAGAGGTACAAGGCCGAGGACCAGGTGCAGCGCGAGCGCGTGGCCGCCAGGAACGCGCTGGAGTCCTATGCCTTCCAGGTGAAGAGCGCCGTGGATGAGCCGGGCCTGCAGGGCAAGATCGCCCAGGCCGACAAGAGCAAGGTGCTGGACAAGTGCCACGAGGTGCTCTCCTGGCTGGACGCCAACACCCTGGCCGACAAGGACGAGTTGGAGCACAAGAGGAAGGAGCTGGAGCAGGTGTGTAGCCCCATCCTCAGCGGGCTTCACCAGCAGGGTGCGGGCGGCCCCGGGGGGTCTGGCTCTGGCTGTGGCTCTGGTTCTGGGCCCACCATCGAGGAGGTGGATTAGAGCTGCTGCTTTCCTCCCATCTTGTCGTCTATGGGGCAGACTCTTGGGACTCGGGAACCTCGTTGTCATGCCTTAGGTTACCCAATTTGTCCCCTACTTCTTGAGTTTATTCTAATGCTGTTATAACCCAGTCGTAACAGGTGACTTTTTTTTTTCGTGTTATTTACTCATATAACCTCATTTAATTTTAGTATTTTTTCTTGTTATAACTAAGCGTATCAACATCGCCACCTGGTGTCCCACTTTTTGCTTTGCAACACTACCAAGTTAGAAAATAATTGTTTTTATACTTTATGCAAAATAAAAAATTTAGAACTCGATCTGTCTGCTTATTTTATGGGGAGACAATGCATTCCTAGAACATATGTATGTCCTAGTGTAAGGATGACAGAATAGGCGCAGGACTGGTGTGGGGAGGTGCACATGCTTTCAGTTACAGCTCTGGGTGTTTCTGTTAGATTTTAAAAGGTAGGCAATAAATGTGTTTGACAGATAACACAAATTGTAGATCTCCATTATGATAGAAGTGAAGTTATTTATTAGAAAGTTATGATTGTTTCAAAGGTCTTGGGAGGGAAATGTAGTTAGTGGTTGTGGCTTAATTGCCTCCAGGAAAGGCTGGGCTGGCCTCTAAATGGGAGCATGAGTCTTTATTCTCACAGCCCTCTGCTTCTGTTTTCACTCTGGTTTTAGAGTTGTCTAGACTTTTGGTGATAGCCACAGGGTGGACATAAGGACTGTGTTCATACTACTTCTGCCTCAGTAAATACCAGACTGGGTAACTTAAGTACAAATTGTTTTACCTTGACTCTGATCACTTCCTTTCAAAGCATATTGTCTGAATGGCTTCACTTAAAATTTTTAAATAATGTTATAGGTAGAAATGTGAAGTAGACATGCCGTATTTTTAACCACGGCTGTCTTAGCTGTATTATCCAGATGGGTGTGTGGAGATACTGAGAAGGGAGTGTGACCGAATGAGAGCAATTGGCTGTTCGCACTGTCTTCATCCTATTTATATATTCTGAAACTTTTCATAGTTGAGCTTGTAGAGCCAGTGATGTGAGCTGAATGCAAGCAAAAATAGGAGCCACAAGTGAAGGTTCAGAGTGAAAGTCATATATTCCACTCTGCCCTAGACCTCCTGGCATTTGCTTGTTCTTGTTTGGTTCTAAGGGGGGGAAATGTTTTTTTTATGTATTCAATCATGGGGCTTTAACTCAACTCCTGGACACTGTCCCTGACCTTTTCTGCTCAAGGCTAGTGCTCTACCCATTGAGCCATGTCCCTACTTTCAGCTTTTTTTTGGTGGTTAATTGAACACAAGAGTCTTAGGGACTTTCCTGCCCAGACTGGCTATGAATCACTAAGCTCAGATCTCAGCTTCCTGAGTAGCTTGGCTTACAGAAGTGACTCACCAGTGCCCACCACTAGGGTTTCTTTGTTTATTTATTGGTGCTGGGACTTGGGCACTGTCCCTTAGGTTCCCCCCAAGCCCTGAAAAAAAAGCTAGTACTCTACCACTTTGAGCTAGTGTTCCACTGCCAGTTTTCTGTTGGTTAATTGGAGGTAAGAGTCTCACAGATTTCCTGCCTGGGCTGGCTTGGAACCACAATTATCATATCTCAGCCTCCTGAGAGTATTACTGGCACGAGCCACCAGTGCCTGATGATCCTGGGGTTTTAACTCACATGGCTCTACTGTAGAGTCAAACCTCTAGCCAGCCCTAAGTAATGGTTCTATCCTGGATTTTTTTTTTTTTTAATGTGCCAGTTCTGGATTTTGAACTCACAGCATGGGCCCTGGCCCTGAGGGTTTTTGCTGCAGGCCTAGTGCTCTACCACTTCAGTCAACTCCACTTTCAGCTTTGGTGGTTAATTGGAGGTAAGATTTTCCTGACCAGGCTGACTTCAAATTGCTAACTTCAGATCTCAGCCCCCTGAGGAAGTAGGGCTATAGATGAGCTGTTGGCATCCAGCTAATGATTTTTTTCCCCCTGGTCCTGGGGCTTGAACTCAGGGCCTGGGTTATGCCCCTTAGCTTCTTTTTGCTTAAGTCTAGTGATCTACCACTTAAGCCACAGTTCTACCTCTGGCTTTTTGAAGTGAATTGGAGGTAAGAATCTCATGGTTTTTCTTGCCAGGGCTGGTTTCAAACCTCGATTCTCAGATCTCAACCTTCTGAATGAGATTACAGGTGTGAGCCACTGGTGCTCATCTTCCCAGTTCAACTTTTGGGCAATACTACATTTTATTTAAAAAAAGAAAAGAAAAGAAAAGAGAAAGGTGAATCTGGAGGAAATGGGGGTATAGTTGCTTCAAGTTACATAGCATTTCTGTGTTAGATATTTTTTTAAAAAGCTTGGAGAGCCTTTGTATAATAATAGTAACATTTAACAGCACGGAACTATTCAGGTAATTTTTTTTTAACCAGTCCTGGGGCTTGAACTACGGGCCTAGGTGATGTCCCTGAGCTTCTTTTGCTCAAGGCTAGCACTCTACCACTTGAGCCACTTGTGGCTTTTTCTGTTTATGTGATATTGAAGAATCAAACCCAGGGCTTCATGCATGCTAGGCATGCATTACATTCCCAGCCCTACAGGCAATTTTTATGAGGCAAACTTATGAAACGATCTCTTTTCTAGTTTAAACAACACAACAACAACAAAAAACTCTTTAACATGTGCATTGCAGAATGCAAATACAAGAAAGAAAAAAGTCAACGCAGCCACAAGCAGTTCAGTTGGACATGACTGTCTAGATCCTCCCTGCACACATACACCAATCCCTTTAACAATTGGTACAACTTATATACACACAGCTTATTGCATGACATTGGCCAATAAAGCTTCAGGCTCAAGAAGGTTAATGAGGTCGGCAGGAACCGAAGTGCAAATTTAAGATTTTGCTGGATAGTGAGACTAAGGTCTCTGGGGTGAGGGGTACTGGCAGGCGAGGGCCAGGGTAGTCTCTTCCAGGACTAAGCTCCAGTGCGGGAAAGAACCGAGAGCTCCGGTCTCACGCCCGCGGGTCCTTCAGGCGGGGGGTGGGATGGGGTAGACTTTCTCTCGCCTGACCCGCCAGAAAAAACTGGAGATTCATGTTTATGAATAAAAACTCATTTAAAATGCCCCTGGAGTGTTTGCTCAGAGTATGTGGAACCTATTTTCCTAGTTTATCGCTTGATTTTATTTCTATTTGGACGTGTGATGCGGAAAATGTTGTGGATCGGGACAGGCATATGAAAAGATAGCTACGTCCCGTCAGGACCCCGGCGTGGTCCAGGGTATAAATACCGCTGGCGCGGCAGGGCCGAGTCTCTTGGTACGGCGGGCTTGTTCATATGCTTTTGTTTGTCTGCGAAGCACTGGGCAGGAGCCGCACCTCTCGCGCAGTGTCCCACGTACAGGTACCTCAAGGTCCCGCTTGGTGTGGGAGGCAGGGAACGGCTCTGGGGCTGAGCGGGATGAACCACCATTGCAGACTAGAGTTTCTGATGTCCGCGTGACGCCACCCTTGGAACTGACCCGGCCCGGGGCGGGGGGAAGCCGGCCGGCGCTCGTTCCCGCCTTGCCGACTCATTGGTTTCTTCCTTAGGGCCTTGATCGCCGTGGGTGGGCCCGCTGCACGGAGGTAAGCGGATGGTGCGAGTGATTTCGAGAACTGGGGAACGGCTAGCGGTCGCCACCGTTGGGGAGGACGGGGATGATGATGACTCCTGGTGTCTCTGAGTGTCTCGCTGACGCCATCACCGCAGCGCGCTGATTGCCCCTCTGATGGCCACACGGTTCTTGGGACCTGGACTTGGGGAAGCTGGTGACTAGAAACACCTTACTAATTAAGGGATTGTGTCTCATCTCCACTTAGGGGTTTTAAGATGCCCGCTGGTGTGTTATCCTTGGAAAAAAGGTGAGTGCTATGAGGGAGAACTCTCCACGTGCCTTCTGCCGATTATTTCCCCAAACTAGCCTCTGCCTGTTTTTCTAATTGCCAACTTTAATTTTATTATGAACCTATTTTGTTAGTGACCCACCTTGGTTGTACTAATGGAGTAATGTGTGCAGTGTGGAGTTAATTCCGCCCTTTTTCGAACTTTCCCAAGCCTTTTCTGAGTTAACTTTTGTGTGGGTGTGTGAGGAGCTTGAACTCAGTTATCCCTGTTTTGCTGGTTTCTTGAGTATAATTTGTTTCGTTGGGCTAGGTTTGAATGGAGAATCACAAGTCGGATTATGGGTATGAGCCACCCAACACAAGACCTATCCCTTGGGTTCTTTTTTCTAGGGCTGTTGTCTTTGAACAGTAAGACTTCCCAGAATGTTTCCCTAAATTGGGAATGATGATTTCACAGACTAGAGTCTCTGACACTGGTCCTGATGTCAAATGGAAATACTGACTCAATTAGGGAACTTGGTTCAACTCTCTGGGAAGGCCGAAGTGTTGCCTTTTTTTAATTGCAAGGTTGAAGATAAAACATGGAGCCTCTTGAATGTGAGGCAAAGGCTCTAACAAAGAACTACTTAGCCAGCTAGTTCTTAATGTCTTTTCATTCTTTCTAGAATGAGGTGTCTGGAGGCCCACAAGGGGGAAGTGCCCCTTTGTAGAGATTTTACTGTCACCTGAGGACTGGAAGTCTAAAATCTGCTGAATGTTAAATCTACCACTTGAGAGACCTGGAATGGCCAGAATGCCTAGGTGATGTTCCTGCTGTCAGCACCAGACTGTTGTGGAATATGTGCCCTGGCTGTGGTGAGTCTTAATTATGTGTATTTCAGCCTCAGTGGTAATTCTTTGGGATATGTGTATATGCTGGGTCTAATACATTTATCTCCCCAGGCTGGCTTCAAACTAATCTTACTATTTTCTAAACCAGCTGATTACTCTGAATCTTTGTTTCTACTGTTGGTTGTCTTCATGGTTCTGATGTTCCTTTTATGAAATTTCAGGATTTTCCTGGTACAAAGGATGGTGACCATCTGTTTCAGTTTGCTTTTCCTGATAAACCTGTGAACACCTATCAACCAGACAGAAAACTGCCTGCAACCAATGCTGTGGTTAAAGGGAATGGTGGGGCCTTATCCAAAAGATGACAATAAAATCTTAACCAAATAATTCATTGTTTGGTCTCTAGAAATAGGATTATTTAGAGATGAATGGAAATTCATGATCATCTCATGAATAACAATTAGGTTTCTTGACCCTTGAGTACACTATAAAGTCAGATCAGAGCTAACATTAATGTTAAGGATTTCAGCCAGGTACTGGTGGCTCATGCCTGTAATCCTAGCTACTCAGGTGGCTGAG